TATAATAATACTTTTTCTAATTCAATTTTATTTTAAAAATAGACAAATTAAATAAAAAATAGTAAAATAAATGCAGAAGGATTAATATAATTTAGAGGCAAGAATAAATTAGAATTGAAGAAAAATTTATAGAATTATTATCTGAAAATGGAAAATAATTTGTAATTTATATTAGATATGTAATTTCTTGCATTCAACTATCTAGCTAATTTCTAACTACATTCTGCAAATTTCTTACATTTTATAATAATTATAAATAATATTTATAATGGTTTTTTTTTTCTTAATTTAATTTATTAAATAAGAATTTAAACTTTATATTCATATTGAAGGATAAAAATATGAAATAATATAAAACAAAAAAATCTATATGCGACGAAAAAGATACAGTCCGAAAAGAAGGCGAAATCATTTCGGAGAGGTTAATAACCTTCAACATCACCTACCCCATAGGTTCGCTTGTTTCAGAATTTCTAATTAGGAAATTTTATAAGATTGGGGAACATTAGTGACCCAGTCTTGAAAATATTATTCATCGGAGACTCATAACCAAGAGTAAATGATTCTAGGGAAGAGCTCCTATTTAATGATTGAAGAATTGCTGGATGGAATAGAGGGAAGGAATTATAGGAAGAAGGAATATCTGAGATCAAAAATGAAAGAATTGGAGCTATACATTAATATGGAAAATAGATGGATGAAATAACAACTAATGAAGGCCTACCAAAGAATCAACCCTAAGATATTTATAACAGGGGGAATAAAGGAATAAAAAATCTTTTATTAAAATTCAAATAAGAAAATTCTTAATATGCAATAAGTATTTAATAGTATGGGTTTTTGTAAAATCATTGAATCTTTGGAGGATATAAAATTTATTATACGTGGTTGGGATCAATTCCCTGTCAGAATCCAGGTTGTGATACATAAGGACTAAAAAAGAAGATGCTTCACTTTCTATTAGCCGACCATGAAGCTCTTCAACTAATGAATTACACAAAGGCTAGATTGAATTATTGGAATCCCTGTGTAGTTCTCATAAACATCAATAGATATAGGTTTTATAATAAATTTAGTCCTAATTCATAAAAGCAGTTAGAGGAAACACACCTAACAAAGAATATGAAAAAAAAGGATGATTCTTGCTTCAGATAATACATAGACAATTATATCAAATGGAGCATTCTCCACTAGATATTCAACAGACTATTTAATTTCCATATAACAATATTTCAACATAGTTTTTGTAAAAATGGGAATATTACTATGTGATGGTTTTTGATTTAATTTTTTTATATAGAATTTGATTAAGTAAGAAAAAAGATATTAGTTTGTTTGTTGAAGAAATTATGATACTGTAAACAAATATCATATTGACTTTTTGTTTATTTGATTGGGTTTATTTAATTTAAGGGGTAATATAGATAATTAATAAGAAAAATAATACTTTCAATTCTGATTTAATCATCACAAAGCTGAAGTTTATGATATATTGTAATAACTATATTTTAATTATTTAAAATCAATTATTCCAGCTTAAGGAATTTTTGATGTTATTTAAATTATTTAAAAGTGAAAATCTCATTCAATTAGGTAAATGAGTTTATTTATTAAAAATTAATTAATATGAAATCCATATAGTATGATGCACTATTGATTGAGAGAGTCCATATGAAAAAATGTGATACTGTGAAATTCCTAGTATTTTCATTGAGTCTACATGATGTTTAACTTCTCAATTATGATGTCAATAGAAAATCTTATTAATTTGCACAAAGTTTTGTTCTTATTTATTTTTACTAAAAAAATTAATATTAAGATATTTTTAATGTCTAAACTTTGATAAATTCATTTTTATTGAATAACATCTTAAATTTTTACAATAAATATTTTTGATATTAAAGCATCTCTAAGAAATTATTTCAGTTAATTATTAATCAGCTATGCTTTTTCCCTTCAAAAGAAATTCTCATAATGATTTAGACTGACGGTTGAATTATTCTGGTTTATTGTTATTAGCTTTTTTAATTTGAATTTCAAAGCATCTTCAGCACTCCTAATTATAAATTAATTTTAGAGTTTCTCATAAAATTTCAACAAGAACATTTAAACATTACAAATTTTTTGTGAAAATTAGATCAACTTCTTAAGACTTAAGAATCTTCTTCGATAATCCTTTCACAAGTTATTACCAATATTGATGCATCTTTAATGGTGATGATTCTCGATGGTTACTTCAATTAACAATAAGAATGAACAAGAATTCTGATAAGTGTACCTTCTTAAATCAACTTGATTATTGTTATTAATTTTAGTTTTCTAATTTCCATCTTGATATAAACTTATTTAAAATAACCCTATTTTATATTATTTTATATTGATTATAACAGGATTATCTTTCTTTAAATTGAATTAATATAAATTACTTATCGATCAAAATTACATTGCATCATTTTTATTTCTTTTTAATAATCATTTTATTATTAGAACTTTTAGTAAAATATAGGTGATAAATTCAAGTTGATTGGACAAAAGAGTAAGTATATTGATTTCAAGTTTTTCACTCATCAAATTTACTCTTGAAATTAAAATAGATGAATCTTAGTTATTAAAATATATTATGGCGATAGTTTGGATCTTGATAGATTTTTCAATTGAAGAAACTAATGTCCTCCTTATAATAAATCTTCATTTGAATTGTTAATTATTTTAATTCATCTATTCCACAAAAATGAACCATTTTTACTAAATCCATCTCCCAATCTTTGATGAATCTAGGTTCGGGTTTGCCCTCTTATTCCCTAGCTCAACAGTCCTTTCGACATAAGACTGCTCTACCTTAATTCACAAAACCATAATCAATATTTTAAAAGCTTTTAACTTTATTTAAAAAAAAATAATTTAATTAACTTTTATTTCTTCCCCCCCCATGGGAAGGAAAAGAAAAGATTTTGCAGCAATGTCTTTAAACAAGGCTATTTCTGCTGATGAAATTTAAGATTTTTATCAGAAAACTAATAACTTCTCTTTATTCCTTAATATTAGGACTAATATACGACTTATGAATGCTTTTTCTAATATCCCTAAAAAGATAAATTTAGCTTTGTAAATTCTAAGTGCTCTTTAAAAACTACTTGAGCTCAAATTCCTACCTAATATATAAAATTATTTTTAGAACGTCTGTCTAAAGATTAAATAAGCTTCATTCCCTACTCATCTTCACAATTTAGTTAACTTACCTATTAAATCTTATCAACACTCAAACTGCAAAGAACAAAAAGAATTGCGCCTTTATTGATTTATGGAATGCTTATAAGACTGTAAATATTTATTTATTTTTTTCTCCTTTAAAGGGGATAAAAAAAAAGAATCACATAGGTTTATAAATGTTATGGTTTTCCTCAATTTTAAACTCTATTTGAGTACCATTTCCTTGATCTAAATGATCTCTCAGATATAGCCTGTTTCCAACTTAAAATTCATTATGGTCACAAATAATATATCAATAGAATTTATCAAACATTTTAAATAAGGCAGATTCTTGCAAGTAAGATCTTCACTAACAGGGACTATTCTTTCAATCCAATTAACTGCGGTGGTGATATCCTATGCAAATGAATCATCCAGAATGCACCCTGGACTATGACTTAGGTAGCCATCACACCAACGACGAGTTTCCCTTATAATCTTAGAGTAAAATCCATCCTCAATAAATAGGATTAAGAATTTTGTAAAATTGCATTTGTGCTTGCATTACTTATTTCCCATAACCACTTAGGCATTCTACTTTATTAAATTATCCTGTAAGGATCATCCCTTTTTCCAGCATTATTTATATTTACCCTTAACAATTCTTTGATGACCTCAAAATCTCTCCTTGATTACATATTAAAGTTTCTTAAATAAGGAAGCAAGGATATTCAAAAACTGATTAAGTTTTTTATATTCATTAAGGGCAACAAAATAACAATATCACGAACATAAACCTTTTTTGAATCCTAAATTATTTGAATATTCAAGAGAAAGTAATTGCAATATTCCCTTTAAATATGTTATAATTTTGTAAAAACAATAATTCAATAACAATAAATATGTATGATAAAAGTTGTTATTATTTGATCTCAATAAGAGATACATTTCCCATTTCTAAATATCTAATAAAGAAGGAATTACTGATCAAACAGATGCAGGATTGGTGAATATTTACTTTTTATTTACTGCTAAATGTAAAGGTAGAAGTTTTATATACAAATGTGAAAAACATTAAACCAAATCTCATACAAAACAGATTAATGTTATAATATCATATTTTAGACAATATTAAATTGTATTAAGCTTTGTTGTATATTATTGATATTTCAAGTATTTACCTTAATCTTACTAAGATGCAATATTTAATTGATGGAGAAGGTCTTATCTATTCCATACCTTTTAAGCAGTTTTTCCTCTTCTTGCAGAACCAGTCTTTCTTATCATAAATGGCAAAATAAAAGTGAACAAATCCATACAAACATAAGATGTAATTACAAAACCTATATATCTATTGAGATCAATTGTTTTTTTCAAATTAATTTTATATATCCTAATATCATACAACGAATAAATGAGAACTTAAGAAATGAAATATTATTTATAATATTAATAAAGCCTATATAATCACCCTTATTATTATCTAATGTTTGATAAAAATAATTATTTTCTTTTTTTAATTGAAATATTCTAAACCTTTGACCATAAGGAATCTAAAATGGGATTTACTTAAAGAGATTAATCCATTACAGTCTTAAAAATAGAAACTAATAAATTTGATTATAGTGAAATATATTAACATAGTCTTCATATATAATTTATAATTTTGAAATATGAATTTAACTAGAAGCTAATGAATTAAAATGGAATCATACTTTTAGTAAATTAAGAATTAAATTAACATATTAAAAACTAATCTGAAGATGCATTTGAAAAAGTTAGTATCCTGATTAGAGAGACTTATTAATATAATCATGCTCTTTAATACTATGAAAAAGCTATTAAAATAGATTCATCTAATAAAGACTATCTATATTATAATGTGAAAAGTTTAACTTAAAACTATTTAGGAGATTTTTATTAATTTATAATTTGTTTAAGGTCCTTAAAAAGATTTCAAGAAGCTTGTCATGCTTAAGATAGAGTTTTAATTAAAGATCTTAATCATGCAAAATCTATTGAAGGAAAAGGAATAAAAGATAAATTAAATATTTAAAGGAAAATGTCTAATCTTTTTAAAAAGGATTGATGAAGCGTAACAAAAGTGCTATCTTTAAAAAATAGTTGTCTTTTAGGGTTATGTGAACATTGTATATATGAAAATGTTAGTAATTTATTTATTTATCAGATAAAAGGTCTATTTAATTATATTTTCTATTAATTTGAAAAGAGAAGCTATTTACTATTTTGATAAAACATTGGCAATAGACCTATTGCATGTGAATTAATTGTATGGAAAAAGTAATTAACCTATAAGTTAGAAAAGGTGGATGATTATTGATAATAAATAATTAAAATAATTAAATTAGAATTATGAATTCATTTGATTAAGTGCTCTAACATTTGGAAAAAGCTTTTGCCTAAATTCATAACATGTGAATACATTGTTTGGAAAAGGTCATGTTTTATTAATTTTTTAGCTTTTATCTTATTATAATATAACTAATATGAAAACTCTTTTTCTTTGTTAAATATAGCAAAATAAATCATGGAGAATAAACAACTAAGTGATGTATTTTAACTAATTTGTTCAATTTAATTACCCATATGCACAGATAAATTACAAAAAAATGATAAATAAATTTGCCACACAATTTTTGTTATTATTTGATACATAGCATTATATAAGTATAATTTATAGTACTCATTAAGATAATTTGAAAAAATTCTAACATCAATCCTAGAAAAATACTTATGTCCTGTGCTCCTTGCGAAAAATAAAAAAAACACATGTTATAACTTCCTAATCGTGATCTTTTATAAAATAATAGTACAATTTATTCTTTGAGGATTTTAGTATTTTTAAATTACAATTAATCAAAACTATACGGGTTTGAAAAGAGGGTATATCAATTCAAAAAGGATAACCATTATAAGAAAAAAATATGTGCTGTCTTTTATTTACTCAGATTAAGTCTAATTTATAGATTAATAAAAATTTGAATCAAATTAAAACTTATTCAAAAAGATGAAAACACAATAAAGTAAATAGAGGTGAAAATTCAAATTTGTATAAAAAGGAGGGTTTTGATTTAAATTCTAAGAAAGATGGAATATGGATAGAATTCACAGATGGATATTAGGGGTATTTATGTTAAGCAATTGTTAAATTGTTAGTAAAAGTTAAATGATTTAATGTGGTGAATAGAAAAATAGTCGAAAAATTGATAAATGGATTATTTTTTGAAGGAAAATTTAATATCAAACATTTAAATAAATGTAACACATAGAATATTGATATTTCTAGAATTCCAAATAATGATGACGACTCTGATGATGACAAAACAGAAGATTAAGATATTCAAGGTTCAATTAAAATTGGATAGAGTTTATTAATTATCAAGAGTATTTTTGTTATGATTATGTAAT